TTTAACATGAGGTATTACAGTTTCGAGGTTGTTTAAAAGCCTTTCTAAGTGCAGAAAGGTGAAACTGCCATAGGCTTGGGTGCACACATTATGGTGTATATAATTGGAACATGTGGCAGAAGAAGAAGCGCATTTAATTAGGTGTTCATAAATAGGGCGATTAAAATCGGTGAGTATTTCGTGGGAAGCTTTTAGGAAGTTTTACTGTGTTGGGAAAAGACGATTTGAGTGGACTGCTGTCATTTTATATCCCTAAAAGTGGATAAGAACTTGAGGGATCTGGAGATTACTTTGAAGTCTTTGGACAACAGACCCTTAAAAATGACAGGAGAGGCACAGATCCACTGGGGTAGAACAAATGAAATACATAGCATTTGATAAGGTGATTTAGTAGAGTGGAATTTAAGACGGGATACATAAAAGAACAAACATCTGGCATTTGTAAAACTGTGGCATACGTACTATGGTCAGGTAAAGCTTCTGTCCAGTGTCACGCCCGTAGTGTGTGCATTGTGTACATGTATGCGTTCGATCGAGCGCTCCTCGTGATCTGTCTGACTCTCTTTCCCTGTGCTTACGTACGATACCATGATTGGTTGTTCATGTCCATTCACAAGGTCACTGTAAATTGATTGGTTGATTTGTCCATAATGCTCGCGTAGTCAGTGTCTGGCACGGATTACATGCATGCTTGTTTACGTACGCTACGAATGCTCCGTGTTCTGATTGACAATACAACAACACTAATGTAATTCACAGAATCATAATGATTCAGTTTTTCCTTATGAACTGAGGCCAGAATACATCAGTCAGTGGAATCGGAGTACATTTGGTCTATCATAAGTGAGGAGAGAATGTCTTCACATCTGAGGGATTGATAGCCAAATGGTGTGTAGCCGACTACTCAGAAAAATCCGTGATGCCACTCTGAATGGTGGGAAAGAAGAGTTACAGAAATATGGCGAGCTAAGAATGACATGGTGAGCATACTTAATGGGGAGGCTATAGTCTTGGGTGGGGATGGAAGACTGATAGGCTGAAAGCAAAAACGGTGGTAATATGGTACCATAAGGGACATCAAGGGCGGAAGTAACATAAGCAGAGCTGGTGCCATTGTAACCACTACCGAAAAATTCACTCCAAAGAGAAATAAGAGGAGACTCAAGACTTAAACTGCAGAGAAAAGGAGAATTTCATTCCTGCTGATACTGTAACAGGGAATGCTGGGGCGAGGGAACGGCGTGAACATCAAGGCGAACGAACGAACCAAACGAGGGCCACAGACAAAAGAACAGGTGGCGAATATGTCGGAGGCGTCCCGAAGCAGGCAAAAAGAAGCACACAGACGACCAGAGAGGAAGAAGCGGGATCTCCGGCAACCAGCAAGATAGCTCAGGTGAAGGGCTTCCGATCGAGCCGTCAACTGAGACAGTCGGGCCAACCGAAGGGAAATGACGGGCAAGAGAAGCAAGCCATCGGCCACAGGAAAATGGACAGAATGCAGCCGAAGCGCTCAAGCAGCGGCAATAGCAATCTTGGTGCCGCGCAGTCTGGAAAAAAGCCTATATAAGCGACTGTATGTGTGCCATGACTTGACTTGTGTGATCGTGGGAATACAAGTATCCTGCCGTGCATTGTCGTCCTTGTTACAATACAATTAAAGGTTTCACTGTAGTTCAGGAAGCAAATCCTAACTACTTTACTCTTTTTATCGTGACGAGAGAATGCTATGTACCAGGAGGACAAAGGCATCAAGGGTGGCCCGTTAAGAACGATAGGAAAACTTGTAGGGGTCTGAAATATTTAGGGAAAACTACACATATGCGATTACTAACATTTCAAAAATTTTCAAAGCTATTGAGATGAAAGTAGTGGGTGGAATTGAGAAGAATCCTTCTTAAAAGTAGGGGTGATGGTCGCCAACCCATTAATACTCCCTACTGAATGATGGGTTCGAATCTTCGATTTCTACACCAGCAGGCTTGCGTACGAATGAACCTCCATAATAATCTTCTAGAAATCGACATGTTTCTTTATAGTTTTATGTTCCAAGAAGTTGTGTGTATATAAGTAATTCAGTCTGCATAGCTCTGTCCTGAATAATTTCATTAGGCTCTCGACTTCTGTGTAATCCCTATGTTCAGGCATATTCTTTTCGGCGACGTAGTCGTTTGAAGTTATGGGATGAGAATTGATCGGAGTGAATGTGATGAGTCTGGATGGATTTGTAAAGGTTGGAACAAAATGAAAATAAGTGGTAAGATGATCCCGAGATACAGAAATATCGGAGTGTGGGAATATAACAAAGTCAGTTTGGATAATCATTTCATTTAACATCATTATGTTCCTCGAAAATGCCTGCCTTTTGGAAGCTTCGCGATCGCGGCATTACATGAAGTGTCGATGGTTTGTGTGGCTATAAATCTTAGTCAAACCCTAGATGGTATCGTGATCGGCTGAGCCAACAGGAGAACGACACGAGGTGGAGAAATATTTACACTATTGACATTGATCTTGTCTAGAAAGACATCCATTCTAGTTGAAACATTGACACTGTTTACAAGACCGAAATGATAAAAGGAACACGGTCAGAACGAGTAAAATCACCAGAAACTATACACAAAGAAATGTCTGTGTAGTCTACTAGAACTTGTAAAAATGGAATCAACAAATGCCTGATGGCCATCGACAGAATAATTGGATGAAATATAAACATTTACAAGCACAAGAGAGCGAAAACCACTCAAAATGTTTAGGCTTGCTTTTAATAACAGGGAAACTAGTCTATACTGTTGAAAACATAAACACGAGCATGCAATTTTGGTAACAACGATTGTTGATATGTGTGATAACCCCACCACCTCGCTTCCGTTGTGCGACAGAACGATCCAGACGATACCCGGTGAAAACACTTGGCTCAACCATTTCATCGGCAATGTCACTGTGAAGCCAAGTTTCTTGTAGTAAGACTACACCCAGCTAAGATTAGTCATTAGACCCAATAAAGTCCACGTGTTGATGATTGATAGATTTGGACAATGTTTTTGAGATGATTCAAAGTTTAAAGGTCTGACAATACCGAAAAGTTACTCAGTACGAAAAGAATGTTGTTGCTAATCTTCACGGGACGGTTGACGTTGTGTATGGGTCTTTCACGAAGGCAAGCTCTGTATTTTCTAGGATCGCCTCTGGAAATCCTGAGAATTCTTCACCATTTATTCTTTACCGTATTTTCGAAAGGAAACAAGCAGCCAGATGCAGTTCCCCCAATGAAGGATTTCAGCAATTCATTAGAATATGTTATCATGGGTGGCAATAATCCAATTGTACAACAGTTATTTACAGTCATGGCCAACGAGCAGAACAGTAAACCGGAGAAATTGTAGATGGTTATGTGATAAATGTTGAAGGTGATGGAACAGCGCGGTTACATTTGAAGGCCCCGTAGTAGAACACGTAATTTTTGTACTTCATTTATTTGTATCGATGTAAATGTAACGAGACCGCAGCTGGTGAGCAAGCCGCGAACTAGTACTTAAGTAAGCAAGTGAATGAGCAAGCAGATGGAAGAGCTAAGCTGCGTATGCTCATAAACGTTGCCAAGTTATATCAGTCGATACATAGGAAGTTCTGTCAATCAATACTGTCCGCCCTCAAGCATGACAAAAGATCAATACCAAACAGGAATATGTCCATTAGCGAGAAAAATGCTGAATAATTGTCCGCGCAGTATGAGTGACTCTACTAGAAAAAACAATGTGAACAATCATGCCTTCGAAACAAATGGCTCGACGTTTGCTCATTGTCTTAGCAGACACTTTCCCTTTGTTTATCTATGTTAACCTCAAAGGGTATTATTATATTTTTACGTACAGTATTCTTTCCAGTTAGTTTTTCCCTCAAGTTAGAGGACGGCAAAAACTGGTTTTCATGAGTGCTGTCATTTATTGTGTGCCTGCAGATGTCGCAAAGGAAACACACCATTGCACTATGCTGCAATGAACGGGAATGGAAAAACTTGTTCCATCCTTCTGACCACAGACCAGAGACTTCTAAATGAGAAAAATGGGCTCGGGGTGAGTAACCCTTGTTTCACATTATCCCTGGTCTTACGAGATTGGCTGAAGTGAAGCTGAGTAGTGGGATAAATTGGCCGGTTTTTCGATTCCTTATCGTCCATGAACAATAAAACTGTTCACCTTTTCAGATGACTGCGCTTCACATCGCCGCGATGCACAAGAAAGATGAAGTCACCGAATATCTTCTCACGGCGGGAGCCAAAATTCTACCTGATAACAGAGGTATCTACTTCACTACACACCTGTTCAATCAGGATAATTATCTGGCAGCCAAAGTGGTCACCGAGCACAAACGGTGAGATGAAATATGAGTGTCGTGAACATGTTTGCATTCAACAATTTGTCATTAGAACATTTTGGTTTACATTCACTGGTTAGTAATTGAAGAAATTGTGTATGAATTACTTTGTCATGCAATAGCAGAGCCCGTCATTGACAAGTCTCAAAAGTATTGTACAGCCTGCATCCTTATTAGGAATCAGGAGCAGCAGTAGTTGTTCAAGTTAAAACCATCCAAATCCCCGATTGGATAACGACTTAGAAAATACTTTGGAAGGCATTCGAATTCAATAATTCGTTACTTAATTGCTAGTAATTACACAAAAATATGTGAGCTAAGAATGGATGGAAAGGACGAGGGAAATTTTCTAGTTTACGGATGAGGTGAAACGGTATATCGATGCGGTAAAGGGGATGAGATCTTCTGCCTTTCTCGATCATCTTTTTCGAATCGAATGGGAATTAATTCAACAGGATTTTCAATCCCACTCTTTTGCACAACACGCACACATCATATGTGTGTAATGGATGCTGAAAGTGGTCGTTGTTCCTTGTTCGCCTTTGCTTTTAATCAGATGGCCAGAAATTATGGAAATGTTGCGAAATACAAATCAATGTCCGTTGGAGCGTCTCGTATGCTACATGCCTTCTTTAACCACTGTAAGTTTCATCTGAAATGATCTACTCCACACTATCCAAAAGTCACTTATTCTTGTATTTCTATCTATTCTGAACATTTGTGAAGCCATCAAGTACATTTGCATTGTAGGCAAACAGGTGCACCGAGGTCTCGTAGAAGATAAACATGGTACTACGTTTGCAAGACAGGAAGTTGGAGTAACCTAAATATCGCATGTTTTGCGTAGTGTTCCGTTTGAAGAACGAAAATATTAGTAGGTGTGGTAATGAGGAGCACAGTTTAGTCTAATGAAAAATATAACGAAAAATATCTTGAACAATTAAAGCAAGACATGGTTTCCTTCGGGTGATCTAACCACAATTTTCCAGAGAGATCTATTTGAATGCAATTTTGGACAGATAGTACCATTGTATTTAGCCGCACTGTATTGCGCTGAATCAAGTTATTCCGCCAACTTGACATATGATTTTCAGAGTCCCTTCTGATCAGTTGTATCCATTAGAATTTTAATTTCAGTTTCTCGTGAAAATCCCTTATGTCTCCTGTCCCTCGTCTTTTGTTACTATATCTGACCTATGTAGATATGCATGATTTTTTATACTTAGGGAAGCACCCGGGACGAGTTGCATTTACCACTGTGTCTTCTGATGTAATCACCTGAGATATTACTAGCTGTATCTGTCTTATTTACCGGATTATCTGTATCCAAGTCTCCCGAACAAAACTAGTGCAGATACTGCGAAATGAAAGTACTTTATTAATTCGTAAAATTCATCATTCGTACGAAAAGCCTGGATTTTGGATAATGGAAAAGCTATTTGCATTTCACTTATCAACTATCTAGACTGAGAACCGGAATCGAACTGGTAACCTTCTTCTTACCGAGCAGTGGCTCTACCAGCTGAATAACTGCGGTACAGCCAATCTAGTTAGACTAATGCAACTGGTTATTCAACGTTGATAGATTCAAGCGATTATTCATTGGGCCATGTTCAGCCGTGTGCCTTTCGTTGTTTTGCGAATTTACCAACAAGGGTGTTTCATTGAACTAAACCAGGAAGACTGATGTGTTTCATTGGAATGGCGGCTGCACACCATTGGATATTCTTTTACTTTTTCGCATCCAATTGGTCGTACCACAATAGATCAACTGGTAGAGAAACTACCAAGTAATCGAAAGGGCTCCTGGTCGATTCGGGCTCACGAAACGGACTTCTGAATTCAAAATACGTATGCAATGCTCTGGACACAGAGTTCTTACTATACTTTCAATGGGACAGGAGATGAGTTGTGTCAGATGAGTGTCGAATCAAACACACTTTTTGCCTAAAGCGCTGTCTGATGCTCCATTACAAGCTTCGACTTACCGAATATCGGTAGTTTAGGTATCACACTGTTCACTATTATTTTGAAAGAATCAATCAGCTTGACTTTAATTTGCTGCATTCACGTGCTGAATGGTCGAGGATTTGGCGGGTTTGTTAAATGGCAGTAAACTGCATATGAAATATTGTTTAGAGAAAACTGTGGTCCACTGGTGATTGTGTTCTACTGCGAAATTCGTACGGCCATTCATTGTGAAAGTAACATCAAACATGAAAAGAAGCATATTTTTACCTCTAACCTCTTCCACTACAATGCGGTACTGTTTGGAAATATAAAATTTGATCCACGTGTGCTTTTCTTGTTTGTGTTCCGTACTGAAAACTGAGAAGCTAAAACAGTTATGAGGGATCAACATAGTTTATATTTTACCTAATTCTGAGGACCGCACGCTTCACATAATTGGAGTTAACAAGAATAAGTAAGGTATTTACAAGGGACGATACGAATGAACGTAATCTCACTTGGTCAGCGTGCGACCGACCACCTAGGTGATGGAATACATTTTTCCAACACTTCCAAGTAGCGTTGTGATGAGAAAATAGTGGTGTTTACCACAGCACACAATTCAAAATGGCAAAATTTGTGCAGTCGTCTCACTAATCTGTTTTATCATGAGCGATTCTGCCATGATCGATTCACATGCGACTTGTGTAAACCGTGTCCTTTCTCATCATGTGCTTTTGTGAGTTGTATACTTATTTTTCTACACATAATTCGTGCCTGTATGTCTTAATGGTCCCCAATAACTTGTAGGGAAAATAAGTCTTACGATTTGGTTCATCTTTCTAACTGCAGAGGTTTTAATGCGAACCGTTTGATCCTTGGTACCCTCCGTTTTCTTGGTGGCGGTCTATTGCTGAAGTGGCCATGAATTCTTCTGCCCATGGCTCCAGGTTGATGGATGCAACCTACATCTTAACCGCCTCTTTCTGTGGTCGTATCAGTCCGCTGGTAAACAGGATCTGGCCCAGAGCTTGTTACTGAATTGCTTCCTCTAACAAACTTGGATCATCATCAGTGTTTGAGAGTGTTAGGGTGTTACAACAAATAATATTCACACATGGAAATACTCAAACGCTAGATTCATGTGTATTATTTCATCAGTTTACCATAAATACAATATCCTGCAGGTTATCACTCAACATTTTATCTAATCGAAGCTCTCAAGATTTCATCAAGATCCAACAGGATGCATTATCGAGCTCACCTGTGTTTCTATCAGGCTCAATTTAGCTCCCTGGGGAAGTACGTATTTGACTCATGTACACCAAAAAACTATTTCAGTTCATCCGTTTGCAATCGGAGGGGTTGTATCTTAGTGAGCAACCGGACTCACCGTTCGTGTATCCACAGCTAATTCGTATTCCCGGATTTCCTTCTCGGCTTCACAGTTGGTTATGGATCAGTTCGTCACGGAATGTGGGACACGAAACACCGGAGACCACGGGGTAGGTTGTTTATCCACTATTCTCCTAAGTAACCAGTTCTGTAAACAAGATTTCCATCCAGTCTGAATGACTTGGATGATATTACAGTAAATCACTACCAGGATAAAATAAACACTTTGAAATATTTCACGAACCAAGCCTGCCATGTGAATTAAAACGCCAGGAGAACGTAAACATACATGCCCGAGTGAATATTTGACTAATTCTTATTTAGTACGATTCTCAAGGGACAACAATCATTGCTGACATGAAAGTTTGCCGTGCAAGAAAACGCAAACATGAGTACGAAGGGGTTCAAATGAGGACTTTGATTGTTCAATTGATATCATGGTTGTGTAACTAATGTCTGACGGGCGTTATTATGTACCAAGCAATTGCAACTTCTAGCATAAACGTAAATTATCCCGATTGATATGGTGTTCACTTTTCATCTGGCGATCGATAGATTAGAGGTCTCACATGTACCCTGGACGAGATTACAATCGACCTCAGACTACCCTGCAGATGAACGAATTAGGAGTCGAAAACACTCATTTATTTTGTGTCTGTACGGTAACGTGGTTGCTTCTTCACCAAAGAATGCGGTCAATTTGCGAGTCTTTCCTGTGTGAACAAAACAAGACAAGCCTGCAAAACCAATTTGTTGTTTGTCTTAACATTGGGTTGTAGCTAGTCAATAAAGGAGGGTAAAACACAATGCTATTCGTAGTGGGCATTACCACAGCAATGTTTTTATTTGTTACCACTAACATCTGAAATGTGTCAAAAAAATTTCGTGATATCAATGCTAATGCAGAGAGTAAAATTATCATTTTCTAATATAATTGGTATGCCAATTTGACACCAGTTAACTATAAAATACGTTTATCGAATTGTTCGAATAGGTAATTATTCAGTTAGCTCGTTGGTTAGTTGGTTAGCTCGGTAGTCGTTTATTCAGTTTGATTGGTTGACTAGTTAGGTCTCAATTAACGCCTGATTCACTTGATGCTCAACCGCATTGCAAGGTATCCTATGCACTTAGTTCAGGCGATCATTCCGCTTTCATCCACTGTCCTACTTTCAGACCCGATTTGATTTTACCATGTTCCAGCCTTCGTCAGGCGATCAAACCCGGAAAACAACTTCAGCTTTCCATTTAATGAAGGTGAGTTCAATAGTAATGGGGCTTGCACATAACTTGCTTGAGACGGAAAGATGAATGAAGATGCTGACATAAAATCTATCACAATATCCACACATCAGAGGACTTCGTGTGTAACGGACAATGTACAATAAGAACTGTTTTTCAATCCAGAAAGTTGTAAAAGGACCCATGGAGAAACCAAGGAATGAATGTTCAATTTGTTTTTGTGTTAAATACTTTTGTTTGAACAAACTGATAAAATGCACCATATATCCAAACAAAAACATCATAGCAAACACCAATGGTTGTGTGGTGAACTCGTAACATAACTTGACACTTCCCGTTCATTTCACAAATATCACACAGGTATTATTACTGAGCTCCTTTTTGCACTAAACTTTCATGGAATGAGTGACATACAAGTGAGGCAAATATCTTCGCATTTATTGCAAACAATATGGAAATGTTTATGGAATGTTTGTTGAAGGCAGTCGGTGGTTAGGACAAGGCCAGTGATAAATCCTGTTTTGCTAGCCGCATGCAATCGTTAAGACGAATAATTTTGTTCACACACTGAGGTAGTCAAGTGGATCAAGTGTCTATCACCTCAAAAAGGACAAACACTTGAGTTCCAGATTCACTGGTCACTGTTGTGGCAGACGGCAGTTTGTCTCTTCAGCTGACCTTTGTTTCAAGCCTTCGACTTTAGGAATTTTAGAGTGAAGCTGTTGTGAGTTCACAAAGGACAAAAGAATTTGACTGTGATGTATTTGCACTTTGTGTCTTCGAAACCGGATCAAATAACAAATCATACCAGCAAAGCGTAAGACTTTCCGCTCACCGACTCGTGACCAATGTATGCCTCTATAACTCTGGACTACCAAGTGTTAACTATAGATCCTGAGAATAGCCAAGGGGATGGGCTACACCTAAGGGTGCGACATTCGACAGACTTGAGTGAATACAATATAACTCAATCCTCGAAGTGTCTGGCGAGCAAAGGTTCTTTCGACCAAACGACCGGCGACCAAATGTCCGGGCATGCATAATTATTATTATTGTTTCATCAAATTCTCGTTGTAAATGGTTGTAATAATCCACACATATTTCCAGCAAAATATTCGTGGTATGACTCCCACCGAGGACTTATAAACGGAAACTGTTCACAAGAAAGATACTCATAAATGTTCCAAAATTTTAATTACAGATTATGATAAACGAAAAACACAGTGATCTTTTGGTTCATCCACTTTGTACCGCTTATCTGACTATGAAATGGTATGTTTATTTCTTTGAAATGTATTATCTTCTTTCGTATAAGCTAATTCCAATTTGAGGTCACTCACAGCGTACTTGCGAAGTAAGGCTGTTTTAATTTGGTACTCGCATTCTGCTAATCCGAGTTAGCATGTGTATTACTTTTTGGCTAGCTGTTTTTGGACTACATCTCTCACGTACAAACCAGGTCACCGTGAGTTATTTGGCATGTTTGTGGGTAAAGTAATCTGTCAGTTTTGAGCAGGAACTAAATCAATTTTGTTCAGAATCGAATAGCACCCTCCTGTTCCGATAACTGGAATACAACAGAAAATGAGATATCGTATTCAGAACATTGAAGGTGATTCTCTCTGTCACATTTGCATGGAATACACTACGAAAGAAAATCAAAAGTGTTTTCATTGCATTCGGAAGGCAATAGGTCACTCAGTTGAAGAACATCAAGGAATTTGATTTATTCCTTTTTATTCCTATTTTCGTTTTCACAAGAATTACTTCGTCATGTGTATTTTTGGCTAAACAGCTAGAATTTCGCAAAGGAAACTTCATTGGTTTTCTTCGGTACCCATTATATAAATAGATGTTGCAACGCGCATGGAACAGACCTCTTGAGAGGAAGGAAATGGAAATCTGGTGTGTAGGATATAAGTGACATCTTGTGCATCTACGCTTATATGAAATAGTCATGTTCTCACGATGAAACCGATGTCTAGCAGTGATAATGTGGCATATTTGTTCGTCAGTTATGTCCAGATTGGTTCGATTGTGCTCTGTTTCATGGCAAACACAGGTGCGGCATTATGGGTAAACAAAACTGTTAAACATCTCTCCAAGATTTTCAGCAATTCTCGATCAAAATGATGGATATCATAGGACAAGTTAACATCTTTCTAGTCACCTAATATGATTACAAGCATACACAAACACGCACACACACATGTGCACAGACAGATCTGGATGATCATCCCCTTTGTTGGTTTGAGTCATATTTAATGTTATGTATTGGTATGGGTACGAATAACTGAAAACGAGCTTGTTCACTACGCTGTTTTGTTCTCAATGTGTTCTGTGGGATTTTTCGTACATAATATGACTACGATCACAAGATGTTTGAGTTCCCGTAGACTGAATTAGACTCTGGGCATCCGTAATCATGTCACTATTAACTACATCAATTCTCTGTCGCACGATAATCTGAGTACATGCGTGCTTATTTACATAATCAGGGAAACTTATGGACGCTGGGTACAATTACTCGAGATGGTCTATTACGCAATGCTCTGCCTCATCATTACTCGGTTTGCGTTGAGTCAAATGCCCCTCACAGTGAACTACAATGAACCACAAATACAAAACTGTATGGAAAAGGTAAGTTCGAAAGTGCGTGCAAATACAACTTCCGACGTGTAAGTGTGATGTACTGGCAGTATTCCACACACACATACACACACACATGCACACAAGCACACTCACACACACGAACAATCGGTGTCAACATTGTTTTCGAAACAGAAAAAGATTTAGCTCTATTCTTCCTCTACAAATAGCGTCTCATAAAGCGTTTATTTGTATTCTGAATTTCATCTTTTTATATGAGAAAACTTCAAGTTGAATGTTTTCATTATCAGGATGGGAATCGATCAACAAAATTGTGAAAGTGATTATTTAATTGGTTTGTGGTCATGCTTGATACTATTCCGTTCCAGTTTAATCGTGTAACAAATTATGTTGTTATTTCATGTATGGTAAGCATGTGGATGCAACCCCTAGGCCATGGCCCATGGGTGGGCAAAAAGACAGGTCAATGATGTAAACAAGCTATTGACAAGAGTTGAATACATGCGCAAGCGTGCACTCGACTCAGGCCAGGGAATGTTATTCGTTACGTGGCGAGATCGACTGTCGATACTGCTTGGGCCGAACTCCGCGTCGTGTTTATATATATATATATATATATATATATATATATATATATATATATATATATATATATGTGTGTGTGTGTGTGTGTTGCAGTAGACGTGTTTCTATGTGCATGCGACTGGGTTAATTGGACAAACCAATAGCACAATTTAGGATGTATAAATGCATTAGGGAATACAGATTACGAACAGGTGATGATCAGTTTCCATAAAGTAAACCATACTGTTCATCACGGATGCTATTTGGCACATGTATCATCTTCATCCTCAACATTATTGTTATTATTATCATCACCATCATCATCATCATCATCATCAGCAGCAGCAGCAGCAGCAGCAGCATCATCGTCATCATCATCAGCATCAGCATCAGCATCATCATCATCGCAGAATCCTGCACTTCCATGTATCCAACAGTGTCAAATAGGATAAAGGGTGATTAGAAACCGCGAATGCGTGTACGAGCCAGTTGGGGATTGTAATATAAGTGGGAAATCATTTTCATGTGAATGAGCGTCAATGATCTAAGTAGCAGATAGAAAGTGAAATACAATCAAAATTGAAACTGTAAAAGTCAGAATAATGATCAATACTTTGCGACAAGCAAAACGTAAGCATCCTCAGTACACAAAACAGGTTTGGGCTAAGAATAATGCTACTTGATTGCCATGGGGATCCAACATGTCTCCTCCGAATAGGGTTTGTTATATTCTTTAGTATGTGATCTGGACTGATTCGCATTATCTTCAAAACTTGGCTCGTCTGATACCTTAGAGTGATATATTTAACAGAAGTCGCTCCGGTAAATTTCCTTATTCCTCCGAACGTGAACTTCCAGTGTCTTTTCGTCACTTGCTTCCTGGATCCTGTTGATTGACTCTTTTGCCCACTGTTCCCTAGGAGCATTTTGATTACCCATTTGAACTACTTTCCCGGATTTTAAATGTCATCTTCACCCTAATCAACAATAGACTGTCTGCAACTTGGGTAGATATTCGCTTTTCCAGGGAATCCAAAACTCTTCGTCAATGGTAGACGGCTCCCATAAGAATGAATTATTTTAGGATTTCGGCTGAGCGACAGAATATGGTTCAGTGTCAGAGCGGCGTAATCTTTCGAGCCAGATGTTAAACTCAATGAGAACCTGTCAATCATAGTCTTTTCAACGTCAGTAAATGTAATTAATAACTCCTCGTCGTTTACTAGGCTTTCCGTTATGATTCAACGCATAATTCGCTGAACACTCCGGATCAACCACTTCCACACACCCCTTGGCGGCCGGTCGTAGGTACCTGAAACTCCCGCTCTCACCCTACGCTAAACAGTGTTCTCCAGATTCTTTCTTGATTCCATACCGATAGATATCTTTCGGTTTCGCACTTTGCTCCTTCGGGCCGTCGTCGCCTCGAGAGCGAACCGGACTTCCTCCACGAGCGGCAAATCTGGCAATTGTACACAGAAATGGCTCTGTGCAACCTTAGAGATCAGAAGAACAATTTTGGCAATGAAAATAACTTTCAAAAACTGACTTTACTTCAACGTGGCCGTGCAATTCCCAGTACCCTCATTGTAGCCAGGACCTGATTTGTTTCGAAATAGCCATTGATTTCATGATAAAAGTTAACCAATGGGTTAGTCATAAATGATTTCGGAAAATAATAACGGGATGCTTCACCCCGAAAGGCTCCACTTCCCACCTAAGTCGACTCACATTACTCTCTCGGAAATGAATGGGCTGAGATTAGAGAACAGACCTTTAGTATCATCCTTGATTCTCACTCCTGAACCCCTTTTAACATTTTCGTTTCCGCAGCGAAAGCCGCGGTGTGCGTCAGTCTTAAAACAGTCGTACACGAGTCGTTGATTTCTCGAATGGGAGGGGTTTTCTCATGTCCCCGATGCAATCTGAGAAACGTTTCAGTCAAACTACAGCTCTCAGGAGGCAAACTTAAAATCCGTGATGTCCAAATCTGTCGGAAGAATGAAAATGAGCCTGGACAATTGCAGACATGAAGATTCTGGGTGATTCTCAATCTGATCACTTCATCGTACTGTTGCTCTGGCTTTCTTATCATTATTTAAAAGTTCCGGCCCTCAAAAATGCGTGCTATCCTGTTGGCCTTTGACCGTTAGCCTACATGAGACGTATTCCACAGGATTGTTTCCGGAGTCGACGTAGCACTATTCACTACTTCTGGCAGGTCTCGAATGGCAGATATTCGGTTCGTCACGAAGGCCTGGAAGCGAGACATTTATTACAAAGCGTTTGCAGAACGATCTTTGAATCAATCGAGTACACCATTCGGTTCATTGGTACAGCCAAATCTTTTTAATCTGTAGAAGCCAGGCCTAGCTGATATTACATTGTCAGTAAGTTCAGCACGTGGTATGGCAATGGTCTTTAGCGGCGCCACACGGGATTTGTCACACATAAGAATACAGCCAAACTGTACATCACCTCATCTGCACTGTAGGTAGACTGCTGTGCCACGAGCTGATTGACAGACAACGGAGAAGCAATGCATTTCTAATATATTGTCCGAATCTGAATCGTCTGTGGAAAATCTAGGTACCTGGAACATTCTGAATTGCTTCGTCTGACTTACCCATCTCTGCCACATGCGAAAATGATCTTTTACTGAAAGATCATTCCAATTACTCTTGGTTCTGAAAATTTCCTAGAGTACTAATCAACTTAGTACAATTTCGAGATCAATAAGTTCGAGAGGGTAATAAATCGAGGCAGTTTAGTACAGGATTGAACGTTTGGTCAGAAAAGTCGGTTCTCGTCTCGCATCGAAGTTGCGCAGAACGGATGTATCGTCATCCGAAACAACACTGGTGGCCTGTCACTCTCCAAAGTGCTTCTCCACAGTGATCGAAGACAGTCTCCATCTTCCTCCGGAATTTTGACTTGATGAAATATGAACTCGGTGTTGGCTGTACTGACGAACGTGCACTTGTGTAAACGAAGCAGCACTCCCATAGGACTAGTAATCACATCCACATCAGTGAGTAGCTGTGAGTTTAGAGACGCTGAGCAGGCTTGACATGTGTAATACAATACTACACATACCTTACCTGGCCTATGTGGACACACTACCGGATGATGGGGTAAGTAACGAACTGACACGTTGTTGGCCACAACGAACGGCCTTTAAGCACTTTTGACGTAACCCTTGTCTAGATAGTTGGAGAAAACCGAAGCACACATCTTTTCGTAATATATTCTACTCAGACTGAATTCGATGCAACGCATTTCGACCGTAGTGTGGAAAATCTCTCCCTCCTAGGTAGGGATAGTTTATAATGATCAATTATCTTTAGTATTAGCAGCCTAGCAGTCTCAACTGTGCGATAACCTTCGTCTGATAAGTCTATCTCACTTGAAAATATTTCTTTAAACTCGAATGAGAACGAGGACTCAACTTTCGACTGGAGTTCGTTGTCACTCGACTAGGCGATCTGGTAGTAGCTTATATCATGTGACTCCATGGAACCCAAAGTAACAAGAACAACCTAGCCGAACAAAGTCAGAGTAGCATAAGGTCCTGTGGACTTCCCGTGTGGTTCTCTAGAACCCAATGTGTAGAAGGTACATCAATACTGCTTAACTTAAATATTAGCTGGTTGTCCGTGTCGTCTAAACATAGTCCGACTAAGTACCTCAGTCAGAAAGCTGCTTAACATCCAGTGTCAACCGAATGGTGGACGGAACTGATCGACAGCTCAGGACTGCACGAAGGTCTCTTAAGATCGGGATCTTGTACAGACACAAAACTTAACTCCACTGGCAGCTAGAATTTAGAGGCTGTACGAAATAGAAACATCGTATTTTATTTGAAATGGTTTTCAGTCCTAATCTCTCTGTGGCATCTTGCAGGTTTTTAATAGAGTCCGAGCCGTTGTTCAGCGAGGTGTGTACGACATATTAGGTTTTGATACCACGGAGCCTTACTTTCACGACAGCTAATTACTATTCATAATTATTGTTTGTCCTTCTCCTTCTCTGTTTAGTTACTCATGAGTAGTGAGTACACATATCGTGAACCTCGGACATTCGTAATATATTTTCTTTCTCCTTCTAAGGGAGCATATTGGTATATACTCGCATTTTTACGGAGCCTATTAAATGAGCAGTTCACATATTTATTCATAACTTCATTTGTCCAAAGGCTTGCATTTGTACTACTAGATAGTCTTTCTGTGTCTCAAATGTACAGCCGTGCTGAGGCTTAAGCTCTCAACATTAACGTTTCTCTCACAGCACTCCACCACCGACCACTACACACCAACGACATTAACAGATCTAGTACCGCATTC